TCCTCTCCTCTCCCGCTCATCGTAGCTTTTTTTCCCTCCCACCATGTTTTTGAACGATGTGGTGCGGTATGAGGGCAAGGGATAGAAGGTGGTAGGGCTATGGGGGTGGTAAGACAGGTACCCCTTATCTATATAAAAGTACCCCCTTGTGAATAGTGGGACAGAACGAAATTTACCTGGGTGGGTAGGAAAAGATGTTGTGGGGGTGGGTGCTGAACACAATTCGGTAGTGGGTGGTCCAGTCGGGAGAATCTCCCTAATAAGGCGGCCATGATGGTTGGATGGGAGAGGAAGGGGACGACGATGGCGAAAATGGCGACGAAGATGCTGATGTTGATGAGTTTGTTTGTTCCATGTAGCGGCTTTGTACACGCAAAACTCCCTTGTGCTACCATGTCCTCTCAACGGTCTAGAGCCTGTCGTTGGTGCGATCCGGTGGGTGAGGTCCGCATGAGCCGAGTGAACTCGGACGAGGGAAACAAGATGGGGAGGAAGGAGATGTTCCAGATCCTTGCTGTCTTGGCGGGAACAACATGGTCGTTTGCTGGAGAAGTCAACGTCGCACATGCTCAGCGTCCTCCTCCTCGTCCGAAATTGAGGAGTGTCCCCGAGGTAGATACGGAGATACGGTTTGTTTCCCCTGAGTTATGAGGATACAGGAGTGCAAACAATCAGGAGCTTGTGGCGGAATGATGCAAGATGACGACAAATTGCCAGACTTCACAAGCTCCTCCGAGGTCAAGGAAGTCCTTGACCCTAAGGTACATCCAGTGCGCCGCTATGCAGCACGATTAACGAGGGAGCAGACAGGAAAGTACTCGACGGGGTTGAAGATCCAGGACATCTCGATAGGAGACAAGTGTTGCTGCCATAATGCTCACTTGTTCGCTAAGTGGTTTTGATGTGCAGAGATGGCCCCGCCATTGGCCCCGACAGCTTCGTCTCAGTGCAGTACGTTCTGCGTAGATCCAACGGATACTTCGTTGATGCCTCATACGGCTTTGATCGTTTTGGTAAGATTGGAAAATAGAGCAAGTAGGCAAAACAATGAATCGGAATACGAGGAGGGGTTTGGAGAGGTAGAAAGGTGAAAGGAGCGTGTTGTGAAACATGCACAGTATAGCAAGGAAAGTGGGAAAAGAGTTGTTCGAGGATTAGGATGGAAGGACGAAGAAACCTCATGCAGTTGACAGACAGTTGACAGACACCTTCGACTTCAAGATGGGAAGACAGCAAGTGATCCCAGGTTTTGAAAAGGTTGGATTCTGCTCCTGCTCCTGCTCTCCTGCTCCTGCTCTTTCTGCCCCTGTCGTTCTCAGCGCATCTCAGGCAATCCTCGGCATGCATGTTGGAGCAAGAAGACGCTTCATTCTTCCTCCTGAGATCGGCTACACGCAAGGAGTCGGTGACAACAAGCCTGGACCGATGCCTCCAGGGTTGAAGAGAAGCTAACTCTGTTAAGGCAGCTCACGTTTATGAAGGTGGGGAGAGAGGAGAGCGCTCGAAAGCCACAGGAGAGAGCCGCTGGTCTTCGAAGTGCAAGTATGGGAGAAGGGGGGGGGGGGGGGGGATGTTGACAGGTGGTCGCAGGTTGTGAAGGTCAAGTAGAAGTTTGGAAAGTGAGAATTGGAAGTACAGGAGCAGGAGTGTAGAAAAGTGAGAAGGCAAGTGTTGAAGATGAAGAGGCGGAAGTGTTTCGAATGTGTCCTGTTATATCATAACTCCGATTCAAAGTCATTCCGCTCCTCCATGCCAAAAACCTGGAGGAAGAATTCCGAATAGTGGAGAGCGAGCATGACGAAAACGAAGATGAGCACGAAGATGTTGGTGGAGTTGAGCCAAGAGACCCCATCCTCCTCTGCCTCGTCCTCGATGGAGATGCTCCCTTTCTCCAGCTTCTCCTTCTGCAGCTGTTTACAGAAACGACGAACAACAGGATCGGTCAGATCGATCCCATGCTTCTTCGCATCGTTAATCATCTCCTCCGTTGGGTTGTCGAAGTCCGCATCCTCGAGAGGGGTGAAGTTGCCCTGCGCTCTCTCCTTCGCCGCCTCAATCCTCTGACGGGACTCCTCAATGCTCTTGAACATCGCCTCGGCCTTGTCGTGCTTTCCGGCGTTCTTATACCCCAGGGCGATGCGCTCAGCGTCTTCCAGCTGCTTCTCCAGCAGTGAGAAAGTGTCCTCGTTGACCACCTGCGACTGCCCTGAGGAGGACCGCCCTGTCCCGTTGCTGGAGGAGGAGCTGGCAGCAGTGGCGGTGGACTGGATCGTTCCTCTGTCGAACATGCCCGAGAACGTGGCTTTGTCGTTGTGTTTCTGCTTTGCTATCTGTTTCCGCAGTTCCAGCAGCTTCGCTTTGACCTTGACGTTCGTCGGATCGATCTCGTACGCCTGCTCGAGGTCCTGCAGCGCAAGATCCTGCTCGTGTGCTCCAGAGGACGCTGGGGTGATGCGAGCCAGGGCCCTGCGGTAGAAAGCCTTCACGCTCTGCGGGTCCAACTCCAAGGCCGCATCGCATGCCCTCACACAGTTCTGCCAGTTGTTCTGCTTCATAGCGCACGCCGCTATGTTGAGGTAGCACGACTGCTTGTGCCTGCTGATCGCCTCTATCATCTCCTCCTGCCCCGAGGAAACGCCATCTTCGTCCACGATCCGGTAGATTTCATCCCTTAGCCCCTTGCCGTTGGTCTTCCAGTCCTCATGACCTTCGAGCACCTCCAGGTACTTGAATACAGACAGAGATTCCTCGTACTTGATGTTGGCCATGTCGAACTTCTCCTCCTTGAAGAGCAGGTTCCCCTCCTCCTTCATGCTCTCCGCAGCCTCCAGCCTCCCCTGGAAAGGCAGCGACCGCGTGTCTTTGAGCTTCTCCATGTGGTAGATGGAGGACTGAAGGAAGGAGGGAAGTCTGTCGTACTTGCGCCTGTCAGACTTCATCATCTCCGTCTTCATGGCCACGGCTTGCTGCATGAGCCTCCCGAACTCTGTGTCACCACCGAGCATGGCAGATGAGCGCAACGAATGGGAAAGGTTCAGGTCAGCCAGCTGCCGGGAAGAGGGCGGGGATAGCGGCAAGGTTGAATGCAGAAGGCGGTATGGGTGAAGCTCAGAATAGAAGTTGGGAGAGAAGGAAGAGGGGGTGCGGTCGGGTGGAAATGAGGAGGCGACCAGGGGAGGACGGGAAGTGAGGAGGTTGGGTGGAGAGCGGGTATGTTGGATGAGAATGAGGATAGAAGACAGGAGAGGAGGGGCAGATGATAGAAGGAAGAGGAGGAACACGGGAGGGAGGGAAGAAGGGAGGGAGGGGGGAAGAAAAGGAGGGAGGGAGGGAGGGGAAGAAAAATCTGAAGAAAAATATGCACTGATGGTCTGCCATACTCCCGGTTCCGCTACTCGGACATTGAAATGGCGGGGCAGGTGATGGCGAAGACGCGGTGAGGAGGTCAGAGAGGAGCACAGGAGCACAGGAGAGGAGAACTCTCTGAAAGAAAGAGGCAGAGATGATGCAGGACGAACAGGAGCGGGGGAAGGTGGAGCAGCAGGTGTAGCGGAACGAGAAGGTGGAGCAGCAGGTGCAGCGTCAAGAGCGCCAGGAGCAGGGCGAGGAACAGTGGGATCATTTGAAAGGAGAGAAACTCGCGTACAGTCAGGAGGTGGATCTATTGAAAGGGAACAAGGAGGATAAGACGTCTTGTGAAGATGAGCAGAGGGGTGGAACAATTTGATGCCACCTGGACGAGCATCTCGGTAATTCCTACAGGCAGCTTGCCTGTTGGAGCCAGGGAAATGAAATAAATTTTCAGGCACTGGCTTGCCAACAAATGAGCGACGTTCTTCGAATTCAGAAGGAGGTTACCACATCGGTATGCGAATGAATCCTCTATTTGACAGGACGGGGCTCAGACTGACAGGGAATGACGGGCCTGTTTGCTGATCAGGTGTATGAAAGAAAGGTCCAACAGTTACAACAAGAAGTGGAAGGCCTTAGAAGCGAGAACGAGAGCCTGAAGAGTGAATGTAGCGCTCTCAAGACGAATGCCAAGATTCTAGAGCTCGAGCTACAGAGATGTCGGTCGGCCATGGATGCGATGCAAGCCAGTACTGAAAGCTCGAAGCGGCGAGACCTGAACAGCGTGGTTTCCACGGCCAAACAGACACGGGAGAGTCTTGCAAGAGTGGACAATGCTTGTAAGAACTTAGAAAGAAGAAAAGAGCTCGAAGACAATTATGTCCAGGTGACCTGCGACTCTTCTCTCACTCCTTGCAAAACAGCCTTGTCCACTGACATATAATGCAGGTTGTGCGTAGGAAAGATGAAGAAATTGCTGACCTGAGAGGTCTGCAGCACTTTCCAACTTTCATGTTTGAATACATTTACAGAGAAGCTGTCAAGATACAAAACAGAGAAACAAAAAGTGGCACAAGAACTAGATCTAGTGTTGAAGCAGCGACACTTCATTTCGGAACAGCTCGTGTTGGCGAACGCAGGCGACGACTGTGCAGGAGAATCCAAATGAATAAAGGTAAAACTTGATCAGTGTGCTTATGCTCTTCGTGAATCATGTTGACCCAGATACTCACACGAATCATGAATAAAGACACAAACATATTCCACTCTTCCTACTCCTGGAGGACTTGAACCTCCCCGTGGGCCTCAGACCCTTCAGAGCAAAAGATTCACACCTCATCAGAACCGGGTAGCCTCCCTCCTGCAAATGCACGTTGGCAAATGTAGGAACGTTCATCTATGAAGGTCGAGTGCGAACACTCGAGTCTCCTGCATCCCGCTCAGGAGGAACCCGCGCAATTCGTCTTCTGAGGTGTGAGAGTCGTCTTGATTGGTTCATCAAAACGAGAGAATGTACTTTAGAAATGATCCTGTAAAGTACTGCACACAGACAGTCAGCATCCCGTACAATCGCACAACGTACACGAAGACGCGAGGGGAGAAAAAGGATACTGGGATGAGGCGAGAGAGAGAAGAGGAAGCAGCAAGAGAGGGAAGGACAGGGAAGGACAGGGAAGGACAGGGAAGGACAGGGAGGGGACAGAGTATGAGGATCGGCATGATATCACTGCATAGCGTCTGCTCACCAGTCGTTGATTCTCGCTGTCCTGGGTCAGGCTTTTATACCCTTCTCCCCGCCATCCCCTACCCCACCCCTATGACTAAACCTGCTTCTTCAATACCCCTACCCATCTTTCAATTTGCCACCCACGCCACATTTCCCTACAGTAGTACCCCTGTCTTCCCATGTATTTCATAGATGGGATTAGTACCCCCACGAGTATCCCCGCACGTGATCAACCCCCTCAACAGGAACAGGGGGAGGGTCATGAGTTCAGAATGGAGGGGTATTGTATACTATTTGGTGGGTGGGGTGGGGTATTGCACGTGTGACCAAACTTCACGTGCGATGAAGCCCCCTAGTGGAGAAGTGATCATTAGGGTAGGTAGGGGTAGTCTTCAGGGGGGTGTGAGGTAGTCCAAAGAAGGGTAGTAAAACGTAGAAGGCTATGACATGGGGGTGGGGTAGGGGATGGCGGGGAGAAGGGTATAAAAGCCTGACCCAGGACAGCGAGAATCAACGACTGGTGAGCAGACGCTATGCACAGATATCATGCCGATCCTCATACTCTGTCCCTCTGCTTCCTGTCCTTCCTTGTCCTTCCCTGTCCTTCCCTCTCTTGCTGCTTCCTCTTCTCTCTCTCGCCTCATCCCAGTATCCTTTTTCTCCCCTCGCGTCTTCGTGTACGTTGTGCGATTGTGCGGGATGCTGACTGTCTGTGTGCAGTACTTTACAGGATCATTTCTAAAGTACATTCTCTCGTTTTGATGAACCAATCAAGACGACTCTCACACCTCAGAAGACGAATTGCGCGGGTTCCTCCTGAGCGGGATGCAGGAGACTCGAGTGTTCGCACTCGACCTTCATAGATGAACGTTCCTACATTTGCCAACGTGCATTTGCAGGAGGGAGGCTACCCGGTTCTGATGAGGTGTGAATCTTTTGCTCTGAAGGGTCTGAGGCCCACGGGGAGGTTCAAGTCCTCCAGGAGTAGGAAGAGTTGAGCATGTGTGTGCGAACGGTCGGCAAGATACGTCCTCGATATCCATCAGGTGGGTTGTGTATGGATATAAAGAGCTGTAGGTCACATATGTTTTAGAAGACATCACTCTGAAATCAACACACTCATCACATGTTTTTCTTTTTCCAAGTGCCCTATCTCAGCACTTACCAATGGAGGAAATGAGGTGATAGCTCTCGACGGTATGCTGCTGGATTTGTCTGGTTCGTCTCCCTCTTCCTCTGATATTTGTGATGAATAGTCACCATCGTGAAATATCAGCGGCTGTTTCGATCACACGGAATCCCCAGGTGTGTTTTCGATTTGAAGCGTCTGTGCTGCATTTGACACCGCGGGGCCTGTACGGCGCAATAAACTTCTAGCAAGGAACTATAGGAATTTCTCTTGCTCCCATGTTAAAAATGAAGTTTCAACAAAGAATTCGAAGGCGGCATTCCTAGCATTTACTGTAACATGGTAGATAGTTATGTCTTATCGCTTCAGCTGTAAATGTTTGATTCAGATCAATCTTGTTAAGAGCAATATTAATAGAGCAAGTCCAACTTCCTCCCCTCTTGTCCCATTAACTGAAGCGATCTGGGGATTCTAAGTTGGAACATACCTCTCACTCCACCTTGCCTGACTTGCTTACTCTCTGCCTGCTCCTGCCATGCCCCTGCCCCTGCCCCTGCATCTGCACCTGCCTCTACCCCTGCACCTGCACCTGCACCTGCACCTGCACCTGCCCCTGCACCTGCCCCTGCCCCTGTCTGTTTCCTTGTCCATCTGCGTCTTCCTCCTTCCTTGGCCCTCAGCTTTTCCCTGCGCCTCCTCCGCTCCTTCTCTTCCCTCGTAGAACTTCCAACTTGATCTCGGTACGGTACTCCTTCATCAACACGCCTACTCTACAAATGCCCAGGGACTGCCGTTGAAACGGATCTCCTTCTGACCTCTGGCCTGGTATACCTTCTAATTTTACTAGTAGAGACGCTAATTGAAATTGGATATGTCATTACCTTGTCTACCTGGGACCCAGCGACCAGAGACGGTGGGCCTAACGCAATGCACTGCCCTTAGGAGGATGGAGAAGAGGGAGGAGGGGAGGGGGTGGGAGGAGGAGAGAAGAAGGGGGTAGGAGTAGAGGAGAGGAGGCGGCAGGAGGAGTCGGCAAAGGAGGTGATGGAGAAGGAGGAGGCATGTAGAGACACTTCTGAGGATCGAAGCCTTTGTGGAACAGTCTAATGGACAGAGTAACGAATCGAATGAGTTACAAGTGTTTCTACAGTGACATTTCAACCAATCTCATCTCCCTGCCATCTTTCTGAGTTCCTTCTATGATTTTATCATCGATGCCATCCAACGTGACATGAGCTGCTAACTTATAGCGAGCATGATGATGATGTATCATCGCATCGCAACCTGATAGGTGCTCGTTACCTCAGACATGGATTCCCTTCCGATACCCAAGTTGCCCGGCTACATCATCGATGACTCCCCGATCCGCAGGCAAGCTGAAGCATGACAGACAGAACAACCAGTGACGTTGTTGAGCAGAAACGGCAGGACGAGGACGTTGGAGTATAAATCAGGCTCGTTGCAGGGACGTGGAGAGCTGAGGGCTGACTGTGCGCATCAGGTTACAGCTATGTGCAATCTCTTGAAGAAGAGAGCGAGATCGACAAGAGCCGCATGTTCCCATCAAGTAGGGAGGACGCGCCCTTGGCAGCAAGCCTGAGGATACCGACGACTGAGGAGAAGTTCATTCCTTCATACGTCACCCTGGACGGGAAGGTGCTCAAGTTTGAAGCGTTCTTGAAGGACGAGATCCCAGACTCTCAAGGAGGTGCGGACAAGTTGTGACTCGGTTCTTTTCTTGACGTGTTTGCCGTCAGACTACTCCATCCGCAAGTTCTCCGTGTGGTACTACCTCGTCGACAACAGCTTGAAGATTAACGAGATCAAGCAGGAGAATAGCGGCCTCACGCAAGGTTTGTACATGTTGATATACTGATTGCTTGAATGTTGTCGAACTGATTGCTTGGACCTTGTTGATGCGAACAAGCTGAGGCTGGTCTGCAGGTACGTTCCTCAAGAGGCACAAAGTTCCTCGCATGGAGAAGGATTCTCGTCCGAAAGATTTCTTGACATGGAGAGACATCCGCGTCGGGGAGATCTTGAACGTCTACGGTGACCAACAGAGGAGGAGAGGAAGGGGAGGAAGGGGAGGACCGACCTGATGCAGGCCGAGAGATCACCATCACAAACTGCGACAAGTTCACAAGAGACTTCTACAAGTGCTCTCTTCCCCTCGCCCTGTACTTCTCCTCATGTCGCTCTTGCTCGTAGGAATGAAGGAATCGAGCAAGGAGAGCAGGTCAACATTCCTTCGGACCCTTATATCATGCGGCGCAAGGCAGCAGAGGAGAAGGTGAACAACATGCGGCGAGCCTAACTGCACGTGATGACTGGCGGTGATGGCAGACGACGCCCAAGAAAGACATCGACAGACGGCGGCGATTCTTAGACTTCAACCGAAAAGTTCTGCGGTTCTACTGCATGGTGATGAGCATGAAGATGTAGAGGGATCAGCAGAGGATGTAGGGAACGGTCAGGAGGAAGATGAAGGAAAAAAGGAGAAGGAGAGAAGAGAAGGAGAAAGATAAAGTGGAGGACGAGGACGAGGAAGAGGACGAGGACGAGGACGAGGACGAGGACGAGGACGAGGGGGCAAAAAGGAGAGAAGATGAACAGGAGGAGGGGGGAGGAGGGAGATGACTTTGCCTGACGTCTCTGCAGTGGGATGACAGGGAGAGGCTCTACGGAGAGCGGAGGCCCTTCACCCTCCACTTCTACCTCGAGGACGACACGGTAGAGATCTGCGAGATTCACATGCCCAACGACGGCAGGGGCTCCTTCTCCAAGATGCTGAGGAGGCAGAAGCTTCCCGTCAACTCCAAGGAGGCGCTGCAGAGCATCGGCCATGGGCCGTCGGAGCACTACAAGGACAAGGACTTCATTATCGGCAACAAGGTCGACGTGTTCGGCCGCGAGTTCTTCGTCTATGACTGCGATGACTTCACGAGGAGCCACTTTCTCTCCAAGTACAACATTACCCAGCCCCCCCCCCTCACCGACAGGATCCGCACGCCCGCTGCTGAGCCCCCGGCGCGCACGATCCCTCCACCCACGGGCTTCGGGTCGGAGGAGGACTCGCTTGCTTGCATGTACAGCCTTGTGCCGAAGCAGCCGAAGAAGGACGGGAGGAAGCTGATCGAGATGCAAGGAAAGGCGCTTCGGTTCCTGGGGAAGTTCGAAGACCCGCAGGGGGAGGAGGAGATGGACAGGAAGTTCGTGATCTCCTTCTTCCTCGCCGACGACACGGTCAGCGTCTTCGAGCCGCCGCAGCAGAACTCAGGCATCGTTGGAGGTAAATTCCTGGAGAGGATCCAGATGAAGAACCCCAAGACGGGCAAGAACTACACGGCACAAGACTTCCCTGTCGGGGAGGTGGTGGAGGTGAACGCCTTCAGGTTTCGAATCCTCGACTGCGACAACTTCACCAAGAAGTTCCTCAACAACGATGAGACGACAGTTGACGCGCAGCTGCGCAAGCTGACGCTACACGACAGCATGAAGCTCTTGCGGCACAAGTTTGACGAGGACAAGGAGGCGATCCGGCTGGCCTTCCTGGCGTATCAGGACGGGGCGGGAGAGGTGAAGCTCGAGAGGCTGAGCGACATCCTCAGCATGTTCCACGTGGACCTGGCGGAGGAGGAGAACGAGCCGCTGCTGCGCTGGTTTGACCTGGACAGGAAGGGGACGGTCTCCTTCGCCGGGTTCTGCGACGCCATGGAGAGGTCGTCGCAGTTCCCAAACTTCCTCGCGAACATGCAGATGGAGAAGATAAGAAGAACCCCCGTCGCCTCCTCTGCAGGGGATCAGACGTTGAAGTAGACGTCCAGGAGGAGGAGGATGTAGCCGGGAGGGAGGGAGGGAGGGAGGGAGGGAGGGAGGGAGGGGAGGGAGGTGGTGGAGGAGTGTAAGTGATAATACAGAGCGCTTGAATTCAATAAAAGAAATAAAGTCCTCATTCCTGCCCCTCCTCACGACCCGAACTGTTCACATCCCTGTATCGACATGAACTCTGCTCCTCCTTCCCCGTCGAACCTCAGCAGCCACTCGTGGTACTTCCACAGCGACTTCCTGTGGGAGACCGTGAGGAGCGTTATTCCCTGCCGCTGGCACTCGGAGTACATCATCCCCTCCACGTCGACGCTCACTGCACTAGTGCACTCGTCAAGGATGGCGAACTGCGGCTTGTGGTAGAAGAGGCGGGCCATGGCCAGCCGCTGCTTCTCTCCTCCGCTCAGCACGTCCGCCCAGTCCTCCACGCTCTCCCAACCCGACTCGCGCGAGTGCACGAGGTACCCGAGGCTGACGCGGTCGAGGAGGTCGAGGAGGTCGTCGTCCTTCTTGCCGCTGCTCCACATGAGCTCCCTGCTGTGCGGGTAGATCACCTGGTCCCTCAGAGTCCCCAGGCACAGGTAGGGCTTCTGAGGGATGTAGAAGATCCGCTCGGGCTTGGGCTTCATCACCTTCCCCCCGAAGACCGGCCAGAGGTCCCCCAAGATGCGGAACAAGGAGCTCTTGCCGCAGCCGTTGGGCCCGCAGATCAGAGTATTCATCCCCTGCTTCACCTCGAAGGAAAGGCTGTCCACCAGGACCTCGGAGTTGGGGGTCACGATGGGAACGTTCTCGAAGCGGATGATGCCGTCTTGCTCGATCTTGATGCCTCTGCCTGGTTGCAGGTCCTGCTGGTCCAGCTCGCCGTCCCTGAGCCTGGGAGGGTCCAAGTTCCGCCTGCTGGAGGAGCGGACGAGTGTGCGTTGGTACTTGTCCTCCTAGTGCCGTGTCAATGTGTAACGAGGAAGAGGAGGGTAGGAGGGGTAGCGAAGGATGATCGACGAGAATTGACGAGAAGGAATGAGAGAACGAGAAAATCCACTGGACCATGGAAGTGGGAGTGGGAGTGGAAGGAATGAAGGAAGAAGAGGCCAAGGAGGAGGAGGAGGAGGAGGAGGAGGAGGGTAGAGAAGGCTGAAGACCTGAAGCTCCTTCAAGACATTCTCAAGCTCGTCGATTCGTGCGGTGAAACCAGCAAGCCTTGTCAACTCTCTACCCGCCAGCACCAACCGCCCGACAGCCTGCCAACCGCTCAGCCACCTTGCTCTTACACAGCCAGCAAGGCGTGGGGGAACAGAGCATCAAGAAGTTGGGGGGGGGGAATGCATCTCAACAATCAAAGGTATGAAGCTATCTCAGTTCTCCCTCTCTCACTCCGAGCTCATCATACACCAACATGCACACCTGCGCCATCTGCAACATCATCCTCCCGCTCCGATAGTACTCCTCCTGCAGCTCATTCTGCGTGCTGTTGACGTGCTTGGGGTTGCTCATGTTGAGAAGAGGGCGGCTGACGATGTGGTACCCGACCACTGTCGCCATGTACTTGGCGATGATGGTGTCTATCATTCCCACCCCGAACCTGAACTGCATGACCTGAGGGCCGAACAGAAACGTCAGGATACGGTGAGGGAGCAGGAGAGGCACAAGCAGAGGGAGGGAGGGAGGGGGGATGACAAAGACGGAGGAAGAGTAAGCGAGGACAACAACAAGAACAGAGACAACAAGTGTTGAGGAGGGGGAGGAGGATCTTTCACTTTTCTGATGTGATGCTCCAGCTTTCCAAACGACTTCGCGACCCAATGTGACTCCCGCGTATTCCCCCGGTAGAAGGCAATCTCCTCAGAGTTGGAGATTATCCTGCGAGGAAAAAGAGTTCTATCAGGAACAAAAGTTGAATCACACGCACGAGCAGAAGGAAAGGACAAGAAGAGAAGACAGCGAGGAGTTTTTGATCCTGTTGGACTGCTCACACTACAAACCAACTTGCAGCACTGCCTTTCCATCGGTTGTGTTTGCCAACTCACTGTTGGTCGCTTTCTGTGCTGGCTCTATGGCCATGGAACCGATTGAGGAAGGGGGGGAGGAGGAAGGGAGTGAAGGAAGGGGAGGAACCTTGTTGTGACGTGGCGGAACTGTCCCTCGTATCTCTGCTCCTTCACCGTGTACTGCCCGAGAGGTCGGCGCATGTGCGTCAAGACAACTCCAGAGGCAGCGAGGTATGCGAGCATGGCGCCTACTCGAGCATGAGCAACTGAAAAAATGAAGGAGAGGAGCAGAAGGAAGAAACGCAATCGGAAGCAGGAGTCCAAGGAAAGGAAGATAACGTGCCTGGGGCCCACAAACTTCCCACGTTCTCGGCGAGTTTCTTTGCGTAGATGGCACTGGGGAACGAGTGAGGAGAGGAGCAACGGACAAACCACCATCGTCACATGTCAAGAATCGGCTTCGATACGTTTGAGTACAAATCTGCGAGGCTGGGACGCAAGTGAGTTGGCAAACGGCAAATAAGCAACGGAGAAAGACATGAAAAGAGGAAGGGGAGAGGACTGGGAAAGAGACAATAAGGGTCCAACCTGGTTGCAAATTTATCCACATCCTGTGTGAGTAATTGATCGGGGTTTCCAATGCGGTTATCGAGGTTGGACAACTTGTAGTAAGTGAAACCAGAGAGGTACTCCTGGAACAACATCGCTTCAGCCTTAGGGTACGTTTCAGCTATCAGATCAGCATCAACCTTGTAGAGGTGCTGAGTCAGCCGCGTTCTGAAGGACAGGGCAATCTCATTCAATCCATATCTTGCCACAAACACGTCACACGACATGGATATCCAAACTTTTGCCTCACTTCAGTAGATTGTTAACAAACGCGATTGGAAGCATTGCGCCCACAAATCTCAACATGTACTTGCTGCAAAGACGATGAGAACAGCAGGCAGGCATGAAACCAATGCCCGTCACCGGAAAGCTTTCTTGTCACGAGAGATGATCGCTGTTTCGATTGAAGTGCCTGAGCGGTGGGATTCAGTTTCCATTGATGATCTTGCCCAGGGTAGACTCCGCAGAGCAGGCAACGCTTTCACAAACACTTTCACGACTCACCATTTCGAATCTGCCACACATCGCACAGGGTTCTGACTACCATCAAGACCGCAACGAGAAACTGCGTTCAAGTCGATCAATTTGATTAGATGCAGAATTCACAAAAAGGGGGTTTGTGATGAAGAGAGGGTCATCACCAGATAGAACGATTCTTTGCAAAAAGGGGATGGTATCAAGATGGGAAGTAGTTTAGCAAGTCTTCGGAGAAAATCTCGGTCGATGCCTTGCTCAAGCTTGTCAAAAGCTGATAAATGTACCATCCCTGTTATCACCAGCTGACTTGTGCTTGGCTACCGTATCCGCGGATGCGTCCTGATCAGAACATCATGATCATATCCCTTTACAAGCTTGTATCTGTGACCTGTGGGGCAGGGGTTGACGCTTGATCATTTCGCTTCTTCCCATTGCGCCTGTACGCTGCATATGCCTGCGGCGGGCTGAAAATCAGTGGAAGTAGAGATAAGGGCATAGAGATCGACCACGGCGAGCGCCGATGCGAAAAGGATCCTCCGTCTCCTGACAAGAACTGCTGTCAAAGGAATGGAAATGTCGACTATCATTGAATCATCCAGGGTTTCAAATACGTCAACAAGATAAATCTCATGAGTTTACATGTGTATTTCTCGAGGCCGGGAGTTCATATCATTGTACCGTACCTAGGATATCTAACTCTACTTGCATTCCTCTCTCACTCCAGCATCTCATTATTTCATGTTTCGAGCTTGCGATTCATGTTCGTGAAGCGCAATGGCATCGGACAAATCTTGCCACCAGTCAGCTACTGCTTCTATGTCTGCTTCTGCACCCTGTTGGCTCTATCTTCGGGCTTGAGCAACGGCTCTCTGCTCATCTAATCTTTGCAAGCATGTGCTCTCGCATTCTCCACCATGATCTTCCTCAAAATCGGAGCGCAATCACCTTGCCGCCGCTTCGACAGCTGCCATGGCGCTTGACGTCACCCCACCCCCGGCACCAACCCATGCCTCTCAAGCCTACCCCACTATGGTATCAAAATGCATTTGTACCCACTACCCCTCATTTTTACAATAAATTACGGTCGATGTCATGGGTATGTGTGACCACCCACCTTTCATAAAATGTGCGGCAGACACATCTGGAAAAGGACCGGGTCCTTCTCTATTACAACCCTACAAGTGGACCGTAGGGTACTGTCCGGTGGGCCGGGGCCCGGATGGCCGAGACTCCGGGAGGACTCATCATGGCAGTGCTGGCTCGGTACTAAAGAGTACGGTCTGTAGTGTACCATAAAAGAGTATGAAAGCGTTATTTCAAGAAGCAGATTCAGCTATTGGTACTAAATTTGTAATGAGTAACTCCGATAGTGATGTCTTTGTATAATATTTATTATGAGCAAGCTACAGATTACATTTAAAACCAATATTTGATCGATTGTTGCTGAGAAATAAAACTAATGGCTCGTGAAGTTTGCTACCACATACTCCCTTGCTGATTTGTGCCTGGTACAAAATGCTTCCGTAATGAAACGTCAATACAGTACTGTTTTACAATGTTACTGGAAAAATAATTTTTAAAATATGAATAGGCCTTGGCGGGATGCATGAATAGCTGGTAGAATGAGGGGGTAGGGGTGTTGCCCCCTGACCACTTTCTAGAGAAATTCATGCTCAAAACTACCGGTCCTTTGAAAGATATTAGGCAGGGGGTGGGTAGGGTGGGGAAGAGGGCCGCGGTAGGGGCAGAGGCGGCATGCAGGCTGGAGGAGTAGAGAGTGGAGGTGATGCTGGAAGCTGCGATAGAAGCAGCAGAATGGTCTTGGCACTGATATGACATGTATGTGATGTCGTGTTCTATGGGCGGAGGGAGCATGCAGGCAGCATGACGATGAGGGGCCGGACAAAGTAGCATCGATGATGCCCCTGCTCCTGCTCAGGGACATTGAATCCCTACTAAATGGCGATTCAGAGATGGAGGCCAAAAGTCTCTCTGTCAATGTCCCTACCATTTCTGTCTTGTTGAAGTGTGGATGCTTGGCGACTTATTCGAGTAAGGCTATGCTATCAAGGTTGCATATCAAAGGTTCAGTAGATTTCAAGGACTAAGAGTTTTACAGTGATTACCAATTAGATAGTATTCTCCATGCGATCATACAAACTGTGGAGAAATGGGATCAGATAGCTATGAGAATAACGACATTTGTATGTACAGACATTGCTCGATTCTGTTGATGCGTCCATTTGTTCCATCGTTTGACTGATTTCGGTTTGATTTTCCAGACAGCACAAAATATCGAGAAGAGCATCGGCCTTGCTAAATTGGTTACTTCGTGATGGGAGAAGTTTCAGATAGAGATGACTATGAATACTCGACGAGTGAAGATGATGCTGAATATAGCTGGATTGGATGGTTTTGCTCGAGAAAAGGGCATGAATTCCTATGCGAGGTGAGATAACTTCTTTCCTCGCAATAGTGAAGATTTCAAAATCTGGTTAACATCTGAAATCGATTTTCAGGTTGACAGAGAATTTGTAGAAGACAACTTTAATCTCTATGGCCTACGCGCTCTCGTGCCGTAAGAAACAGACAGCATGGTCGATTCCCAATTTTTCTTACTTACCTTCAGCCATTATAATGAAGCGTTGGATATGATTTTGGACATTGAAAGAATGGAAGAGACGCCAACTGATGACAGACAGGTACGTCTTAACATGAGAAGTCCTTTGTGATTTGATTCATGAGATTTATGATAGGCCAAAATTGAATCTTCTGCCGAATATTTGTATGGTCTGATACATGCAAGATACGTTTTAACAAGCGCTGGCCTCAACGCGGTTCTTGAAAAGTACTACAATGCGGAATATGGCAGATGCCCCCGAGTATTCTGCAAAGATCAGCCAGTGAGAAACTTTGCCCCTCGATCTGTCCATAATTGAATTTGACACGAATCTATCCTTGGAAGGTTTTGCCAGCAGCTATTTCAGACGTGCCGCACGAAGAAGCGGTCAAGGTTGGTCGTGTGTGTCGGCACGGATGAAGGCTTGCTGACTCTTGACCGTGTGTAGGTTTTTTGTCCTAGCTGTGAGGACATGTACACCGCTAAATCCAGACTTGACGGAGCTTTCTTCACCACTTCCCTTCCTCATCTTCTTCTGCTACAGTATCCAGACATCAAACCGCCAAGACAAACGGAACGATATGTACCAAGAATTTATGGCTACAGGATACACAAGCCGAAAAAGTGATTGTTCAGGTCATCGAGTTGGTTGCTTCACCACGTGGCGGTTGGCTTGGAATTCTAGGATGATGCTGTATGATGAATCATAAAGAAGTCGAGCAAATGTTCCTTGGTGAAAATTTCACGAAGAACATGCTTCTTTGCCTACCAATGTTTATACTGAATCCAATTGTTTACATCAACTTTGATCTTCAGCGATTGGACACCATGCCAACGGCAGACATCGATGCACACCTTACATACCTTTTGCACTATTCTATTGACGATTTGTTGGAAGGAACCAACAAGTTACAGGAACATTCGATCAGGACACGTATCGGATTGATGTACAGGAATAACAGAAGGCCGCAGTCGCATGGAGATTTACATCACCAGCGTATCAAAGAATCCGTTCTCCTTGTTTATATCATCATACTGTTAACAACTTAGTTGGCACCCGAGGAAGCTCCCGCAACGATCTCAGAGATCTCCTGTGTGATGGCAGCCTGACGCTGACGGTTCATCTGCCTGGTAAGGTCCCTGATGAGGTCAGAAGCGTTGTCAGAGGCAGACTGCATGGCGGTCATACGAGCAGCAAGCTCGGAGGCGACAGACTCCTGCATCTGGCGGAGGATCTGACCGTTGAAGTAGAGGGGAAGGATAGCGGAAAGAATCTGCTCAGGATCCTGCTCGAAGATCATGTCCTTGGGGAACTGCTGGGGCTCCACCTTGCCCGAGCTAGCACGCTCAACACCAAAGCTTCCATCCTTGGAGGTCATGAGGAAGATCTCATCACCCTCGGCCTCGATACCAGTTGGGCTAAGGGGAAGCATAGTGCGGACAGATGGCTCAGAAGAGATGAGGGAGGTGAACTTGGTGTAGAGGAGCTCAACACGGTCAGCATCTCCAGCGAGGTAGGTGGCGAGGAGGTTCTGGGCGATAGGAGTGGCCTGATCAGCGGTGGGAGAGTTTCCGATGGTGTAGCTGTTGACAACGTTGTATCGCTTCTTGAAGTACTGGTTTCCCTTGTTTCCAATGGTGACGAGGTCGACCTCGATGTTCTGGGCCAAGAGCTCCCTGATACGACCCTCTGCCTTCTTGATGGCATACGAGTTGTATCCTCCGCAAAGTCCACGGTCGCCGGTCATGATCACGAGGAGAACCTTCTTGACAGCGCGCTCGGTCATGAGAGGGGAGTCGAAGTTGTCCTTCTTCAAGCGCTGGATCAATCCACCGAGAACCTTCTGGAGGGTCTCGGAGAAGGGCCTGGTCTTGAGAACGGCATCCTGAGCACGACGAACCTTGGCAGCAGCAACGAGGCGCATAGCAGAGGTGATCTTCTTGGTGTTCTTCACCGAGGTGACACGATCTCTGAGCTCCTTGATACCCATCATAGGTCCACATGCGCGAGCACGAGGAGCAGCAGGGGTGACTCCCTTGGCAAGAGAAGCTCCTCTGAATGAGGAAGAAGAGAGGAACGGAGCCTGGAAGGCAGAAGCGGCAGCGCAGAGCGCAAGGAGCAGCGCCGGTCTGTACATGGCGGAGGACGCGGCGACTGGGGGTTCGCGTTCTGCCACCCCGTCATCCCACTTAACCCCCCCACCCCATTGACCCGGGGACCCTATACGTAACCACCCCACCCTTCGCAAAAATATTGCATCACCCGGTCCAAGCCCTGTTGATGGTACCCACCCTAGACAATTCCTGTTACCCCACCCTGTTCATACCATCAAAAAATGCTGAAATATACCGGTGTACAAATCCCTTGTACCAGCTAGTTTAAAATTCTATCGAACACCGGTGCTTTATCCATGATTTGACATAACCGGTGATGGACTATACCCCCCTTTTCGTATCACCCCACCTCTTAGAGACCTCTCGTCCCCCACGCGCCAAATGGACCCCCGCCCCCTTACAATTCCTTTCATGTTTCAACCCCCACCCCACCCTTCAATTTCACTCCACTCACACACCACCTACCCTTCATTATACCAACCCTCATTTTACCACCCCACCCTAACTTTGATGAACAAATTGGCTCCAACCCCCAACTATGCAATATTCCACAAGGATGCCGCCCTCCTTGAATCACCCTACCCCCGGGATAGACCTTTGCCAACTACCCATTACCACCCTGATTGATTTCATGATACCAAAACTTCACACCCCTACCCCATCATTTCCCTCTACGCCTCGCTATGGTTCTTATACGTACCACCCCTTTGCCCACCACACTGCGAAGGATGTACCCTCGGCTTACTGGTACCCCTACCACCATTTTTGAACAGCCCACCCTCCCATCCTTTACCGCCCCCCTCTTCTGCCTTTTATGGCGTTGATGAGCAATTATCTATCCGCTTCATGAATGTTTATATAGTAGCTTCACGATTGATTGTGTGGATCTTCTCTTCTCTAAAAAAAAAGATCGCCAACTTTGATTAGAATAAGCATACTAAAGGATGAGGTAAAGACATTCAAGCCTCATGTGTGCATCACGTGATACTACCCACCCTAATATTGCCAGTCTAGCGGACTAGAAATATGAGGTGGTCACACCCCGATCAAATCCTACTACCCCACCCCTCGACCTCGCTCTTGGTGTTCACCCCAACCGTGAACCACAAACTTTCTGTTCATCCAAGCTTGAACCCCCACCCCTCAAGAAGTGAGTACGTACTTAACCCCCCCTTGTTCCCAATATTCACCCCTACCCACACAGGCTAGCGACCTCACATGCTAGTTTTCCAACACACCTTCTAATCAGAACCTGTCATCACTTTTTTGTTGGGATATTTAAAATTAAATGTATCAATTTGGATATAAATGTTGATAATTCACCATTTTGAAGAACTCTTGTCAAAATGGCCTTTAGATTGTGTGGGGGGTCACGTAAGAAAAGCTATGTGAATCTCTGTGATTCCGTCCTACCCCACCTCCCTGGTTGTGAATTATGCCATGGACCACCGGACCCCTCTGACTCTCTCCCGGATATAGACCGGTTTGGGGGTTCGTTCTCCACTATCTCAACCTGACCCTCGTCCCCGCTCAACCATTTCAGTGTTTTAGGAACTACTACCCTACCCCTGAAATTTCATCCTTTCCATCTCACAACCCTGTTCTTGGAGGCACACCCCTTCCTTGTCCACCCCCACCCCCGGCATCCAGCGGGAGAGCCTTTCGGTTCACGTCCTCAGTCACGAGAGTCCGAGTTGATCGGGGGCCGCCTCTCTTACGACGAAGCGTAAGAAGACCCACCTCGAAGAGGGGGGTAGACGCATGAAAGGGGTTCGAGCTCTCTTTCCAAGCCTGGGTAGTACTAGGGAAAGTGCAGGGGTGGGGGATGATGTCCAATAGGGTGGGGACCCTATTTGTTTATATGAACAGAAGCCCGCCTCGGCGAACTTGCCATCCGCCGCCGGGGCCGGCCCGCAGGCCGGCGGCACTGCCGGCTCCCGGACGCCGCGGCGCGAGGACACTGAACCCGGAGTCCGCCGCCGCCGGTCACCGACACTCGGATTTTTTTGCCGCACGCCGCGCCGCGCGGCACGGATGGCCCGCTTCATCACCATGTGATCGGACCGCCGGCCGTACGGTCGCCCGGGCCGGTCACCGTGGCCGCGGCGTCCGTCACAGCCAGTGGTGGCACAGCTCAGTTCGAGTTCACCGTCACGGTGACCGGCGGTCGGCGGGCCGCCCGAGCCCGTTGGTGGCACCCCGGCGGCGTGACACTACTGGCCGCCCGGCTGTAATTCGATCCGCCGTAACATGACTGAAAGTTCTGAGGCGAGCTGGGACGAGGGGTGGAGCCGTTAGAATCATGATGGACCGTCCATGGCCCGGTCGCAGGGTCCCTGGCGGCACCAAAGCAGACTGGCAGTGGGTTGCATCAGTAACGCCGAGGATGGCGGGAAGAAAAGCGCTGACTCTCAAGTGAGAGAGCACTGAAGTCAACGACGCGATGGCTTCGCCTGACTCTCTCAGAGACGCCGGAAGCGTCGGCAAGCACAGTTGGCGATATCCTCGTGGAAGCCTCGACGCCTTCAGGCTGACGGGAGGAGCGAGGACTGCCTTGAATGAGCTTCCTTACTTCAGCCTCCGCATGCGCAAGGGCATCTGCTTGTATCAAGTTTTCCACCATCATGATAGTCAGCCTAAGGGTCAAGTCGGGGATCGACCCATCTCCTGTCCTCCCATACATCCGACTCAAGTGCTGCTGCCCTCCCCTTCCAAGGGCACGAAGGAAGAAAGCACTCTGCAGCTGGAGGCGACAGCCCGTTCGAGCAGAGGAAGAAGGCTTTCCTGGACGGGCTGCATCGCAAGAGCACGAAAGGTGAGACCGATGCCCCTGCTTCTCCTCCTTCACAGCGCTCTAACGGCTTGCATGATTAGTCATGGTGCGATCACGAAGATCGAGTTTGACCTTGATATCTACCAAGAAAGAGAACGAAATGAAACATCTCCTGCATTTCACGCTTGTGATGCCCAAGGACTTGTCGCTACTGTACAAGATATACGTTGCGATCAAGCAAAATGCTATCTCCATAGCTGATCCCAACTTCGACTGTTCATGGAGTGTTCCAGAACCAAATGCTTACATCGTTCTTCCTGAAATCATTGCGAGCAAACACGATTGGCGAGCTTTCGAATTGATTATGTGTGATCTTCGTTTTCTATGGAGAAAGTTGCTTGAGAACGGAATACAGTCTATCATCGACACCTACGAGGTTGCCTGTTCTTGTTGATTCATGTCATGTCTGACGCTGCTTACAGCGACATTGGATTGCTATCGAGAGCGACGCGGCTCTCGATTCAAGGTTGGTCGCCTACAAGGAGTTTCTCCGGGACAACTTTCGTATGCTGTTTGAGAAACCGAGCATGTTGTTCACGGCAGCTTATTCCTCCAAGCGAAATGTTGTCAAACACGATTGTGAAGAAATTGTGAGCTATTTTCAAGACGTCGTTTCTCAAATTTACGACGAACTCACGGATGAGATTGCTCAATATGAGCAGCTTTCACGAACTCCATCGGGAAAGAAGAAGGTCAAAGGTCAGTCTGGGAAAGTTGAAGAAACAAAGCAGAACGTGGAGAAGCTGGAAGGGAGAAAATTGTTAGTTGACGATGTGATGAGATACGTGCACGTCAAAATCCAGCTGATGCGAGCTCAAGAGTACGGCATTCCTTCCTTCTTTGACGCCGACACGACGCACAAGTTCTCATTTTCCCTGGAGAAGCTGACGGAGAGGATTCAATCGTCCCGATCGCTGCTGCACAAGAGCGGGATGGAGAAGTACTCACTCGAGAATGAGAGCATCCTTAAGCTGGGGTCATACCTCAAGGTCCCCGACTCCCCGCTCAAGTACACGAGGGAATTCTTGGATCTCGTCTCTCTATGGGACGAGTCGGACAAGGAAGACTTTCTCTTCCTCACCGTGTCGATACCCTACAAGACCTGGATCCACGAGAAGCCTCGTAGGGAGTACGAGCGAACTCTTTGTGTTCACATCGCAGACGCGGCGCAGGTTCCTTCAGACCTTATAGACATTTTGGAGATCAGATGCCCAGAAGCAGACAGGTCGAAAGGAAACGTCGACGGTGTTGCTCTCATCAAATTCAGCGAATACATCAAGGTAAGATGTAATCGAATCTTTCTTTGTAACATCGGTAGCAATGCTGACGATGATGACGACGACGACGACGATGGAGATGATAATGACTATGTTGTTGTTGTTGATGATGATGGAGATGATGATGATGGAGATGATGATGATGATGATGATGTTGATGTTGATAACGACTACGATGATGATGATAGAGGTGATGATGATAGAACGATTATTGACAACGATGATGAAGATAATGACTATGGTGCAGGCGATCGAGGTGTACATTAGTCGTGGAAACAATTGGCCTCGACCTGATCACACAAACATTGCGGAACCGATCGTAACAGTGCAGTTGAGAGGTATTCATCGGCAAGAGAACAAGTCAGGATCATCGTAAGCAGCTCAGCACTCCTGTACATCTCCTGACCCTGTTGGTTCAAGGAACCTTCGATCGTCACAGGAACATGTTCATCAAGCAAAATTCAGGTAGAGGTGAAGGTTGCAGCCTGTATGTTGTGACATGTCAGCAACAGCGGGGGAGACTTTGTTTACCCGTCCTTCGAACAAGCCGTGCATCTGCTAATTCATGACGTGAACCAGGAGGTTGTGGTGCTGTGCCATGACAAGGGCGTGAAGAGCGTGCTGGGGGAGATCGTGGTGTCGGTAGAGGACGTCTTAGCTGAGTGTCACTCAAAGCACGACGAGAAGTTCTCCCGCACCTACGAGATCTGCAAGGTAGGCACCAAGAAGCCTGTCACCTGGAAGTCGTCGGGGATGGACGGGAATCCGATGCTGCGCAAGGCGACGCTGGACCTGCAGTTTCGGTTCTCGACGAAGCAGTCGCAGAGGAAGGTGATGCCGTCCAAGATGCTGGAGACTGTAGTCTCCCAGATCCGCGACGAGGAGAGCAGCCTCATTCAGACGAGCTTCATCCTCGGCCAATCCTTCCAAGACGTCGACGGGTCTTGGGATACGGTTGACATCTACCTCAGCAGCAACCTGGACGACATGCATGCTGAGCGGGAGTTCCTTAACCGGTACGTCTTCCCAGCTCTGGCCATCAAGTGCCTGGACCTGCGGCTGCGACTGCAGTGGAAGGATCTGTCCTCCTCCATGGTGCACGGGAACCGAGACGACATCATCCAGAGACTGGAGACCCTCCTCTCCTGCAGCGTGAGGAACTTCGACAGCAGGGCGAGGAAGATGAAGCAGTGCCTGATGGTGTCGCTGATCGGGGAGAAGAGAGGGAGGATCGTGGACAGCAGGGACACGAGGAGGCTGGAGCGATCTTCACTCTTGAAGCAGGGTGACTTCAGCAAGATGATGGAGGCCGTCAGGAAAGGAGTGTCTGTGCAAGAGCTCGAGACCCGATGCGGTGAAGTCCCTCCTCTCAGTCCCTCGTCTGATGCTCCTGCAGGCCTTCACGGTGAGTTCAACGAGCTGCGCGGCTGGACGTTCGAGAGGCCCAACGACTCGCTCATCTGCATCAGAGACAACGCCTTCCTCTCGGACCCGGAGTTCCAGGCCCAGGTGCCGCCGCAGGTGCGCGAGTACTTCATAGAGCGAGACGAGACGGCCATGGGCAAGAACCATAAGTTCAAGAGCCTCCTCAACAAGACCGCCAGTCCCAACGTCGTCCACTACTCCCCGAGGTTCCACTCCTACGCTCCCAACCAAGACGTGTCTTCCACTGATGCCAGGAAGAGCTGCAAGCACGTGAGCCTGGTGGGCATGGAGGAGTTCGGCATGACTGTCTTCTCGCGGCTCTGGAACGTTCTTCGCCAGCGCTTCCCCTGCTCGCGCTCGAAGGTGGCAGTGAACAGACTCTTGACGGAGCAGGCGCGGCAGGAGCAGATTGTCATGTCCTACGTTCAGCCGCTGGTGTTTGCTGACAACGGCAGCCAAGTGCAGACGTTGAGGAGGCTCTTCCAGTGCCTCTTCCTGCAGGGAGTGCTGGTGTCGTACCTGACGGGCGAGCATGGCAGCGGCAAGTCCTCCCTCCTCGCCAAGTTCGTCCAAGTCCTCAAGCCCAGCGCCTTCAAGAGTCACCTCGCCGCAGACGCCAAGGAGGAGAAGCGGCCCAGCAAGCTCCAAAGCGCCACCCTCGGCATCGTCGCTGCCATGAACTTCTCGCTGTCCAAGAACCGGCCGGGCACACCGGAGATGGTGAAGCAAGTGCTGACCAACCTCAACGTGGGCAGCGAGAGCGAGCTGAAAGTGCACGACGACAGCCATCCCCCAGCTGACGTCCTGCTGAAGAACGACGACGACATCCTAGCAAGGGTTGTGCAGCAGGACTTTGCGATCTTCGACGAGCAGAACTTCAAGATGATCTACTTCTTCAAGATGGTACATTTTCTCAGCTCCTCCCTCTCCCCGCCCTTACCTGGACTGCAGGTCTGGCACACCACCAAAGACGTCCTCTCCTACCTCTGCTCTGCTGTGCTCGACGAGCAAGACATCTTCCCTGCTAGCTGGAAGCGTCTTGAGGTAGCCGCTGACTCGCATCGAGGCGTGTCTGAACGCCCTGCCAGGAGATCCTGCGAGACAGGGTGGCGGAGCTTGCGAGGTATCGAGACGTCAACTCCGTGAGACCTCCCTTCCTCCTCCCTTTGGTGCTGACCACCCGGCAGAAACTCCTCTTGATCCTGGACGGGCTGGACGAGGAGGAGAGAGAGTTGATCTGCCGGCTCGTGGCGATCTGCAAGGGCTCCCTCCTCGTCCTCTTCACAGTGGACAGCAAGAACCCCTGTGCCGAGAGCCTCCGAGGGCTGAAACATCCCAACCCTCTCGCCCACATCGTTCTGCCGCCCCTCAACGACACGGAGAAGAGAGTCATCTTCCAGCGCATGCTCTTGTCCACCGGGGCCAGGAAGATCACCCAGGACCTGAAGCCCATCCTCGGTCGAGCGCAGGCTGACAACCCGCTCTACCTTCGCAGCCTCGCAGCTTGCATCGAGTCCTACATCAAGCTCAAGATCCATCCCCTGTCCTTGCGCCAGCTCAAGTCCAACACCAGCGAGATCGTGTCGGACGACCTGCTGAGCCGGATGGAGGGCATGTTCGGCTCTGCGCTGCTCAAGGCTGTGCTGGAGGTCATACTGCAGGATTCGTACGGGGCTACGCTGGAGCAGGTGCAGGAGATTCTCTTCAGGAGCGGTCTCACCTTCGAGGTGGACAAAGTTCAGTCGCTTTTTCGAGCCATCCTCCCCTTCTCCGACAGTTTCGACAAGTCAGTCCGGAATATCATCTCCCTCAATCGTCGTTCAGGTGACTGCCCACTCGTCCTCCCTCCTCCCTCCTCCTTCCTCCTTCCTCCTTCCTCCTTTCTCCTTCCTCCCTTTCTCTCTCTGGCCTTGCTGACCTCTGTGGCTCCAGTGCGGCAGGGAATCAGGATGAAGTTTCGAACCCTTCCCAGCAGGGGCTCAGCAGCAGACCAGCATCTCCTCGTCCCTCTCGACCAGCTCCCGCACGTCAAGGTCGGCCGCACGTCCTCGAGCGCGAGCACGGGGCGAATGACGCGGGCCAAGAGCGTGTATGAGAAGGAGGTGGAGATGGCGTCTGACGACGGGATCACGTCTGCGAGCGAGGAGGAGGAGGAGGAGGAGGAGGAGGAGGAAGAGCTGCAGGTTGTGTTCGGGGACGTGCGGCTGCAGGTGAACGAGAAGCTCTTCAACAGCTTCAACAGCGACGAGACAGCGATGGGAGTGACGTCAGGTCGACTGACCACCATGAGCCTCGGGGAGGCGATCAACCTGGTCGAGCACTACCACCTCATCCCCAGCTGCCTGAGCAAGACGGACGTCGTCAGGTCGTTCAGGCAGTCGGCGAGGAGGAGGAACCTTGGAGGAGGGAGCGAGGGGACCAACGACACCCACGAGCTCACGTTCGCTCAGTTCAAGGACTTCATGTCTCGGCTGCAGGACTGCTACATGGAGAGCGCGACGATCATGCACGAGTCGAAGCACAAGCTGGCGGCCACGCTGATCCAGAAGAGGATGCGGGGAATGCAGGCGAGGAAGAAGCATCGGCGAGAGCGACTGGCGAGTCAGCTGCTGGAGATGGAGGGAAAGTCGGAGTTCGATGACAGAGACATGAAGAAGATCGTCAGGCTCCAGGCGATCGCGCGGGCCAACAAGAGCAGGAAGGAGACCAACAACAAGAAGCTCCTCAAGGCCGCCATGCACATCAACCCCGAGCAGAGACGCGCGGGGCCCGTGGCGATCCGAGCTCGACACCAGCTGACCGGGAAGCATGCAACGATCCAGAAGCGGCTGCAGGCTGTGTTCGACCGGGTGACTGACGCCTTCACGTTTCTCGACAACAACGGAGACTTTGTGGTGACCCAGGCAGAGCTGCGAAGAGGCTTCCAGAAGCTGAGAATGGAAGACGTGGACCTGATGCAGCTGGGGTGTAGCGTGTCAGCAGACGGGAAGATTGACCTCATCGAGTTCATGCGTCTCTTCGCATGGAGGGACGTGGTGAGCATCGAAGAAGAGATCTCTAAATCCAAGCTGAGACGGTCGAAGATCGTCAAGCAGGTCGATCAGATCACCAAGACCTTGAAGGTCATATGATAGAAGTACAAGTTATCATCGTCACGTGTTTCTTTATTCCCTTTTCTTGTATATGAATCATTTCAACTACCACTCACTTCGTTGGTATCCTTCTTGACTTGATAGGCTGCGCTGGCTATGAACCAGCTCAATCTCAGCAGAAACAGCCAAAAAATGTTGACGAGAACAACCAAGACAGGCTGAACCATGTTAGCAAACAAGAAACAAATACTTACCTGATCGATGAGGCGCGAGCGAGCGAGGCGCTCTGGAACGAAGCCTTGCTCTTGTCCAGCTTCGAGCTGTCGTTGCCAAACACTTTCCAGAAGCGCAAAGTCTCATCTGCCGCTCCTGACACAACCGTGTTGCCGTCCGGCGAGCAGGCAAGATGAAGAACGCGGCTCTGTATCATGGTCAGATCTAGAAGGAGGAGGAGGAGGAGAAGGAGGAGGAGAAAGAGGGGGAGGGAGCATTGTTGCAGTAGGGAGGGAAAGGAGGGAGAAAGGAGAGGAGAACGAGGACGAGGACGAGGACGAGGACGAGGACGAGGACAAAGACACTGACCTGGTGTCCGGTGAGCTCCGCAACCTTGACCATGGAAGGATACTTCCAGAGGGTCAACTGGTTCTGCGTGAAGCCGTGCGAGGAGAGGATCTCCTTCTCGTGCTTGGACCACATGAGGGAGCATACCTGCGAGTTAGTGTCGACCTCCTGCAGCAGGGCTCCTGTCGTCGTGTTCCAGAAGCAGATCTTCCTGTCTGCCGTCCCTCCTCCCGACGCCAAGAGGTTCGCCTGCCAACTTGATCATGACGAGAACAAGGGGCAGGAAGAAGGGGGGATGGGAAGGGCTCAGCATGGGAAGGGCTCAGCTGTTGAGAAGAACAGGAGGGATGGAGGGAAGGAGAGGAACAGCCTTGTTACCTGATGAGGGCACCAGGCAAGCGCCTTCACGGCAGCCTGGTGGTGACAGATCTGATGACGTGGCGTGGTCTGCCCCATGTCCCACACGTTGAGGATGTTGTCGTTGCCGCCAGAGGCCAACTGCTGCCCGTTGCACGACCACTTGAGCCCGCAAACTTCCTGCGTGTGAGCTCCTTCCAGCCTGGCCGTCACGTGCTGAGCAATGCGCACGTCATGGTGGATGATGGAGCTGTCTCTGCTTCCGCTGCTCAGGATGTGACTGTTCCAGGCCAGTGACGACACCCTCCCTCTGTGCCCCTTCATCGTGCGAATCTGTCGCATGCCGCCCACGTCCCAGATCTGAACCTCCTGGTTGTTCGTCCCGACTCCGATGTAGTTGCCGTCCTGCACCCACGCAACCGAGGTGATGTAGTCGTCCTCTCCTTGCGTGGTGCAGAGCTCTTCGATGGAGCCAGTGGACGCGTTCCAGAGGTAGACGGTCTGCGAGAGAGCGACCGCGAGGATGTTGGTGCTGGACCAGTCGAGCAGGTTGAGGTAGTAGTCATCCATCAGCTCGGGAGCATCAAGGATCTTCTCTGGCGCCTGGGGGATATACCGCATGCTCACCTTCTTCTTCATGTCACTTACCTTGTTCTGCGTGTACAGCACTCGCTGACTGTTCAAGTGTCCTTCAGGTGGCTTGGGGGCATCGGCCTGCAACGTCAGAATCTTGTGAGGCTTGTTGGTCTGTCCCATTCCCATCGAGTCTGCCAGTGTCGACTTGTACTGATCCTTACCTGGCGTCTTCTTGGCCGAACTCGGGGTTTGAGGGTTTGAGTTTTCATTAGCACACAAGTTGAAGAAGGCCATTTCACCATCCATGGCACTTCTCTTGGGGATGAAGCGATCTCCCTGTGGAGACCTCTGAGCCTTGGGCGTCTTTGGAGCAGAAACGTGTGCACACATTCTCAAAAAGCAACTGGGAAAACAAGTAGTGATGTACTGTTTGCAGGATCGAATAGATCAAAGAAGAATAGCAAGCAAGGCAATGAGCAAAGAACAGCTGTAGAGCGAAGAGTGGTTGAACTCTAGAAAGAGGTAGAGCAGAGGAGGATGAGGTTTCCTTTGGTAAGCACCGTCTTGGCTGCTCCTATATTTCCTTTCCCCTCGCCCCCCCCCTTGCCCCACCCCCACCCTACCTTTGACACGACAAAGTCTGATAAACACAGGGGTAGTCATAATTTCCTGTACACATATAAAATTATATTTTAAAACATCGTAACAATATAAAATATATTTGTACTGGATTATTGTAAAATTTGTACCAATAGAAAATGCCGTTGGACATCAATGTGCTACCCCTGTTTTCATGCCGAAAAAGTACCCCTGGCCCTCTAAGGAGTTGAGATCCTGAGATGACCACCGGTTCGTTCATGGTGAGAAATGAGGGGTGGGCGAGTTTGTTGCCCGAGGCTCGAAGCTCGTCAAGCCGCCCGCCGAAGAGTCTGGCCGCACTGCAGGCTGCGGAATTCAATGAATGATTACTCATCTAGTTCCTCCTCGGTACAATTTTTTGCCGTTGAGCGGTTCTTTACTCAAAGTTAAGTTGAAAATCAGTACGAGGACAATCAGGAGATGAGGAGGCTTGACCCTGACACTGGCGAGCCCCGAAGAGAAAGACACTGTGTGACAGCGAGAACCAAACCCAATCCTGCCGACTGCTGTCCCCCAAACTTAGTAACGGATACCTTCACTTAACTTGCCAGGCTGCGCGCAGGACTCTCACTGGCAAGTCCCCCGCCGCGCGCCGCGCGCCGGGTTCAATGGTTGACGGACGAGTCCGACGGTCACAGTCCGACCGTCGCACGGCGGCAGTGCGCAGGCCCTGAGGGCCCCCCGGCGCGGCCGGCCGCCCGGCACGGGGCGTGAACCCCGGTCCGTCCGGTCACCGGGTTGACCGGCCGCCGCCGCCCGGCCGCCCGGCGCTCAACGCCGGCCCGGCGGGCCGGGTTCGCCGGGCCGGGCCGGGTCGTCACTGCCGCACGGCGTGCCAGGCCAACCTCATTCAGTGAGTAATTATGACCATAGTGGATTAACTACTGAAAACAGATTAACTAAATATTTTGTTACTCACAGGCCCGTCGGGGCGACGCCCAACATGGCGGGAGAGGCGCGCGCAAGGTGCGAGGAGGAGGAAGCGCGACGGGGGAAGGATCATGCTGAGACATCATGGATTCTCCGCTCTCCTTCTGAAGGAAGCCTCCTGTCTTCCTGCTCTGCTCGCTCCAGGTTCTGCTCGAGTGACCTAGCTGCCGACCTGAAGCCACTCGCTGCCATGGAAGGCTCGAGCGGCGGGGTCCCGATGAAGAGGATGCAGCGACCGAGACTCTCAATCATGTCGAGAGGAAGAGATTTTCTGGTGGTAACGGCCGTGGTCTTCCTATCCTGCCACAGTGTCTCCTCCTTCGCGCCAGCTGGCCTGCGGATCAGTTCGCCAGTACACCGTGCGGCTGCCGTTCGTCCTCGCCCTCCAGCTCCGACTCCAAGAGGTCTGCGCGTCAGGAGATCATCGATGCCGAGCATGATGATCAGGCCAGGATCGGGCCAGACAGACGACATACAGCAGAATGCAGTGAGCATGGAGCTGCAGAACGCGATCAAGCTCAACGACCTGCTCGTGATTCAAGACATGATCCAGGCTGATGTGGTGAGTGCCAACTTCGCACTCTGCAAGGCTGTGCAGCTGGGAGGAGGAGAAGACATGATCGAGATGATCCTGCAGCTGGGAGCGAGTCCAGATGCGACGGACGAGTTCGGGCGCACTGCCCTCATGCTCGCAGTGATGCAGCAGGACCTGAAGGCGGCGGTGATGCTGCTGGCAGCTGGGGCGGACGTGGAGGGTATCGGCAAGACTTACAACGGGAGAACAGCGTTGATGCAAGCTGCCTGCTCGGGCTCAGCTGAGCTGGTGAAGCTTCTCCTGAGCAAGGGAGCAAATCCGGAGGCCATGGATCGCTATGGCAGGAATGTTGTCAAGCAGGCGGCGATGATGAGGAAGGAGCAGGTGGTGCGCATACTTGAGGAGCACTTGGATGTGGGAACGAGCGAGAACCCGTCGAGGACCCGGAGCGTGACGTCCGAGGCCTCACAGGAGGACGATCTGATCCCCGTGGAGGAGGGGATCGAGCAAGAGATCTGGCGCTCTATCCTTAAGGAGAGCGAGCCTGTTAAGGATCGCCCCGATGTGTTCGAGTGGCGAGGAAGGATCCTACGGCAACCAGAGATGACCGACGACGGGAAGTTCTGCATGATCATCGATGACGAGACGGGTGAGGTAGTGTTCAAGGGGAACCCCCCGAGGGTCGAGGAGGAGAGCGAGTTGAAGGCAGAGAATGGTCCCACACGTGCCAGCCCAACTGTCAGTCAGACTTCAAGGACGAAGAAAGTTGTGACCAATGCAGCTCGTATCGCGGTGATGCCTGGAAACCCACGCTCTCTCCCTCCCCCTCCTCTTCACTCCTTTGGAACCGACCTTTCCCTTCCTCCCTCTCATCTCTTCGTTCCTTCCCCTCTCTCCGATGTAGTGTTCCCTCCGTTACCCGGTCATTCTATCTTTGCTTTCTCTTCCACATCAAATTTCCCCCCCCTCCATGATCGCTTCTCCCCCTTCCTCTTCCTCAACCTTTGTTCCGCCTTCTTCTCACTCCGGTCTCTCATGCCAGGCTAGCCCTGCCGTAGCTGTAGCAAGAATCGCGCGAGCAACGATGGCGGTGGTGACGGGAGAGGAGGAGCGAGACTTCCGCAAGGAAGGCATCCCCTTCGGCAGGCGCGGGACGGTGTCGGCAATGGCGGCGGCGTGGAAGAGCCTCTTTGAGGAGGGAGGGGATAAGGCGTCCAGCCTGAGGGAGGAGGAGGAGGAGGAGGGGAGTGGAGTGAAGAGGAAATCTCTAGAGCAGCACTCGGAGGATGTACGCAGGATCGCAGAGGCGGTGGGCAAGCGCAGGCCCGACCAGCGCATCACGATGAAGAGACGAGGAGGCGAGTCGCACTGCCCGCGCGACTCGTCCTACAAGGATGGGACCCTTCAAGTTGACCTGCTGGGTATGGACGGAGTCATCGGCGTGCAGGAGACGGAGGACGGCTGGCTAGCCCTCGTTGAGCCACGAGTCACGATGCAGTCCCTGGTTCCGTTCCCCCATGCTCCCCTCACCCTGCCTCCTTGGATGTTTTCGTTTTCTTTCCCCTCGTGCCTTTTGCTGTCTCTGCTCGTCTCCTCCTTCATCTTCTTTTCTAATGCTGATGCTCCCTTTGCTCTTCTCTTTCCTCTTCCTTATCTTCTCTCCTGCTTTCCGTCTGTGGTTTCTAGTCTGACAGCATTCGTCAGGTTCGCGCTACTCTCCCTTATGGAGTTGTTCCTCCTGTGGTGCCCGAGGTGGGAGGAGGAGCAGGAGGAAGGGGAGAGGGAGGATGGAAGGGACAAGAGGAGGAGACTACGGTTTGATCGAAGAAATGACTGTTTTGCTGTTAGTTTCGGCACATCACGGTAGGGGGAGCGATCGCAGGGATCGCAGGAGAGTCTGGAAGCTTCCGCCATGGCTTCTTCCATGATTCGGTATGAAAGAGGAGGAGGAGGAAGAGGAGGCGAGGGCGATGGAAAGAACGAATAGCTGAAGCGACCGGGAGGGGGAGCAAGAGGGGAGCAAGAGGAGGAGGCAGATTGGCAATAAGCAGAAGAGGCAGAAGAGGGGGCAGAGGAGTACGGAGACGAGGGAGGGGGAGCCGCAGGAGCAGGAACGAATTGAGTGGCGGGTAGAGGGGGGGAGCAGGAGCAGGAGCTGGAGCAGGAGCTGGAGCAGGAGCAGGAGCTGGAGCTGGAGCTGGAGCAGGAGCAGGAGGCGCAAACTTCTAAAGGGCAGCAGATCGCAGGGATGGAGGTTGTGCTGGGAGATGGGAACATCGTGACAGCGACAGCAGACAACGAGGTGAGAAGAAAGGGCTCTTGTTTTCATGGTGGGGGTCCTCAAATCATCAAATCAACGAGAGGATCTTCAATCTCAAGGAGGAGTTTTTCAAATTTGAGGGGGACATTCGTAATACTTGGTGTCTGACTTGAGCGTTTCAGTTCTCCGACCTCTTCTTCGCTCTCCCTGGCTCTTACGGGACCCTGGGCGTCATCACAGCCGTGACCATCAAACTCGTTCGTGCTGAGCCGTTTGTTGCCATGAGCTACGAACACTTCGACAATGTGAGAAGTTGTCATCGTCATCGTCATCGTCATCGTCATCATCATCGTCATCGTCATCGTCATCGTCATCGTCATCGTCATCATCATCATCATCATCATCATCATCATCATCATCATCATCATCAACAACAACAACAACAACAACAACATGCTCTCGTCTTCCGGCTTCATTTTCTTCTGACGACTCGACAGGTCCTTGAGTTTGCACTTCATCTAGCAACTGGAGAGAAGAGAGAAGAGCTTGACTTCCTCGAGGTGACTATTGGTTCCCTCCCACCTCCCCCTCCTCCTCTCCCCTTCCCCTTACCTTTATCCTCCCCTCCCCTCCCCTCCTCTTCCCTCCCACCTCCCCCTTCTCCCTTCCCCTCCTCCTCCTCCTCTCCGCTTCCCTCCCACCTCTCCCTCCTCCTCTCCCCTTCCCCTTAACTTTCTCCTCCCCTCCCCTCCTCTCTTACGCATTGCTTCTTTCCCAGGGCATTGGCTTCAGCTCCTCCAGCCTCGTGGCGTGTGAGGGGAGGATGATTGACAAAGGATCCGCCGAGTCAGGTCTGACCGCTATGATCGAGGAGGAGGAGGAGGAGGAGGAGGAGGAGGAGGAGGAAACGCTCATGTCGGCCCAGGAATCTTCGGAGAGGTTCGGCGGTTGGACAAGTTTTACCACCCATGGTACTTCCGCCACGTGCAGAAGAAGGTGTGAAAGAACTGGCAGCGGAGATTGAAGAGGGAGGAGGAGGATGGGAAGGGGAGGAGAAGGGTCGGCAAGGAGGGGAAAGGACGAAGAGGAGGAGTGGATAGGGGAAGAGAGGCAGTGAATGAAGAGGGAGTGCAGAGGAGGAAGGTTGCGGGGAGGGAGAGAGTAGGAAGGGGTAGAAGGAGACAACTGACATTCTTTGTCAGAGGAGCGAAATGATTCGAGACCCTCGCGTGTGCTCGGAGGTCATCCCTCTCGAAGATTACTTGTTCCGCCATGATCGCGGCAGGTCAAGTCGCCTCCTCCCTCCTCCCTCCTTGGCCTCTACCTCGTCTACTTTCCCCCACTCCCTCCTCCTCCTCCTCCTCCTCCTCCTGCTCGTCGTCCTCATCCACCACATCATAGCCCTCATCGTCGATGGGAGGAGGGTCGTGCTTATCTGGACGACGATCTGAGAAGATCTACTCCTTCATCGTCGGGCTGT